AATAAAAATGAAAGAAAACAAAACTGAGTAGTGGAAAAAAGAAAAAAAAATTATTTGAGTAGGAAAGGGGAAGAAGAAAATCAGATATATGAAACAACATAGACTAGAATAATAAATCAAAAAAGCAGATAAATAAAGAAGACATGTTTAAAGTAGAAAAAAGATGAAAGAGGAAAAAGAAAAATGTTTTGTGTAGCTGGCATGGCTCAATGATTGAACACTGACCTAGAAACCAGGGGGTCATGATTTGATTTCCAATCAGGGCACATGCCCAGGCTGTGGCTCAATCACCAGTGGGTTGTGCAGGAGGCAGCCAATCAATGATTCTCTCTAATCATTGATGTTTCTGTCTCTCACTCTCTCTCTCTGAAATCAATCTATTTTAATAAACATGTAATAAGCTAATTAGACCAGACAGCCGAACGACCTTTGGGATGTCCTTTTAGTTAAAGCCACGGCAGCGGGGGCAGAGGTGGTTAGGGGCGAACAGGCAGGCAGGCAGGCAGGCAGAGGAGGTTAGGGGTGATCAGACAGGCAGAGTGGTTAGGGGCAAGCAGGCAGGCAGGTAGGCAGGTGAGAGGGAGGAGCCAGCAGTCTCAGATTTCGAGAGGGATGTCCAACTGCCAGTTTAGGCATTCCTGCGGGATCAGGCTAACCCAGCAGTTCATCTTCCCCCAAGGGGGTCCCAGATTGCTAGACGGTGCAGGCCGGGTGAAGTACCCTCACCCCCATTCACGAATCTCCTTCACTGGACCTCTAGTAAAAGTATATTTAAAAAGGGGATTTTTAGGAGGGCTGTTTTTCTTTAAATATTAATGTTTATTCCATGTAACTTTATTATATTTAGTTGTTTTTCTAGAAAGGAAATATATTCATATGGCTATAAAAAATAAAAATCTATATTTTTAAAAAGTGGTGAAGTGGCATTTGTTTCACCAGAGTTTAGTCTCCAATGGGAGCTTCCTTTAGATCCTGTTCTTCTCTGCCAATTCTGGGCTTCCTGTGAGGAACTTAGGTGCTAACCACTGTCAGGAACTATCCTCCTTTGGCTTTCAGCAACCTGTTCGAAGCTCCAAGTGACCCATCCACCCACCATTTTTTGTGTCTGTCTCTACTGGCCTTGGCTGCATGCAGGAGGGGCCAATATGCCATTTAATGTAGGTTTGTTAGCATGGGGCCCAGGGCTGGTTCTCCAGATTCTACCATTGCCTGCCTCTGCATCCTAGCTAGCTGTCAATCTTAACCACTCAAAAGTCTTTCTGAAAGGGCTTTAATGTGGGGGAAGTGCTGTTTAGCTTTCTGGGAATTATATGGGTGTGTTTCCCTGTCCCAGAGCTACTCCTTCATGAGTGGCCCAAAATATTTCTCCGCCCTCAGCTAGACAGATACTTGTATGGAGACCAGTGAGTTTGGCTGGACACCTGTATTTTTTTGTGCTCTCCTGTTCAAGGAGAGAGTACCACCTGTCTGGTTCCCAGGATAGTGGAGCAGATGGCACCTCCCCAATCCAGTCACTGCAGCTCCTGAAACTGTTCAAATCCTTAGACTTGGCCTCTATTTTTGTTTCCTCCAAAAGCTCAAAATGCAGAGTCTGGTATGCAGAGCTCCTGAAGGTGGGACAGGCTGTATTACCTAGGGCGGGTTATTTTTTTTCTTTCTCTTCTTGCCCTGTTGCTACTGGGAGTAGCTGGCTCCTCAGGAAAAATGACTGTTTTGTTTTGGGGCCTACAACCAAATACTCCTGGATGCTGCTTTTCCACATCTCTCCACAACGCTTGCCACACCAGCCTCTCCTCCAGTCTCCCTCCCTGCACCAGAGCCTCTGGTGAGTAGTTGTAAATGAAAACTGCTGTGCTCTGTGGGGAATTTTTGGTTTTTTTTGTTTAAAAAAAACAACACAAAAACAATAAAAACGAAACTGCAGCTTTCTGTCTGACTTATTCCCATTTACGGGCTCCAGACTGTACCCTGGCCAGCTGTCCTGCCATCTTTCATGGCTGGATGTTACATGGGCCACTGATCTTGACTCTAGTGCTCTGGGCTGTGGAGCTCAGCCTGGGTTTCAGGCTTATATCTTCTGAGGGAATAGAGATCTCTCCTCACTTGGCCTGCCTTCCTGCTGCCATGCCTCCCCTGTAAGCTGGGTCAGCTCCTCTCAAGACCTTGTCCCTCCTACTCATTCCAGGTGTTCTCTGTTCTTCTTTGATATGTCTCCTCCTCAGCTGAACCTCAGTTGGTAATTCCAGGTGAATGTTCTCCAGTTTAGTTGTATTTCCAGTCTGGCCCTGTGATGGGTTCATTACAGACCTGCCTAGTCAGCCAACACTTTCTTCTCCAGCCTTTGCCATTTTAATATGTGCCCCTTTGGATTCATCTTGTGTTGAACTCTCTGCCCTTCCTGGACTTGCATGTCTTTTTACTTTACCAGATTGGGGAAGTTTTCAGGCATTATTACTTCAAATGGTTCTCAATTTCTTGTTCTCTCTTTTCTTCTCTGGGTATTCCTATAAGGTGAGTGTTGTCATGCTTCATATTGTCCCAAAGGTCCCTTAAACAACTATCCTCATTTTCTTAAATTCCTTGTTTTTATTACTGTTTTCTTTTTATTGGGTGGTTTCTGTTAACTAAACTCCCAAATCACTGACTCAATCTTCTGCTTCAGATACTGTTCTCTTCATTTCTGACCGTGTCTTTTTTTTATATCCTTTTTTATGCTTACTATCTTTTTCATTTTTTATTGATTTTAGAAAGGAGTGGGAGAGAAGAGAGAAACATCGATGAGAGAGAAACTGATTGGTTCCTCCCTTATGCATCCTGCTCTGAGGATGGAACCCACAACCTGGGTATGTGCCCTGACTAGGAATCAGACCTGTTATTATTTGGTGCACCGGACAATGCTCCAACTAATTGAGCCACACTGGCCAGGGCACATTTCCATTTATTTAGTCTTATTGTAAAAATACAGTGTATAATACACATAGCATACAAAATATGTGTTAATTGACTATGTTAGCTTTCAGTAACTTCTAGTCAGTAGTGGGCTATTAGTTGTTAACCTGTTAACCGAGCAGGACGTATAAATACGTCAAACGTAAATAATATCAGGTTCTGGTAGGACATATGAATATGTCCTTGAAATATATGTTGCGCCCTGAAACGGGCGGGACTGTATTTCCAAACAACAAAGGTATTAGTCATCCATACATGTCTTGAGGGAATCAGTATAATTTCTCTATTGAGAGTGGTGGACGTGTTCTGGGTGAGCAGTGACGAGTACGTACTTACACTTACCTACCTATTGTATTTTCGTATTATATATCATTTACTTATATTTTTTATATCTCCAACCTTTATATAATAGAAAAGCATATAAAATTGATCCAATCATCAAGAATTTGTCAGAAAAATTTAAAAGTTTTTATGTATGTGAACGAGAAATATGCGTAGATGAGTCTCTTTTATTATGGAAAGGGAATTTATCTTGGAAACAATATATATCTACAAAAAGAGCTAGATTTGGAATGAAGTTGTTTATTTTGAGTGAAAGCCAATCTGGATACGTACAAAATATAATTTTATACACAGGCAAGGACACAAATTATGGTTCACACTACCCACAAGAAAAACAATCAACAAGAATTGTTTTGGAGTTAACACATGACTTACTGAATAAGGGTATAGGATTTACTTAGATAATTTCTATACGTCAATTCATTTGGCTGAACTCTTGTGTCAAAACAATACAGACATTGTTGGAACAATGAGGGTAAACAGAGTCGGAATCCCAGTGAAATAAAAAAAAAAAAATTACAGAAAAATGAACATATAGTAAGAATCAAAGACAAACTTAGGATTTTAAATGGAAGGATAAAAAAGACGTATTGATGCTCAGTTCTATTCTGATGAAAAGACAATGATTGAAAAGAGAGGAAGAAGGCAAGAAAAACCAAATGTTGTCCTGGATTATAACAAGAATATGGGCGGCGTAGATTTGGGAGATGGAGTTATGGTGGCCTACATGGCTGCCTGTAATAGGGTAAAAAAATTTTATAAAAAAATTTTCCTACCATTAATTGGCATGTGCTGCTTCCATGCATATATTATATACAAAAAAGATAAAGGTCATTTGGATCGATCACACTTTTTGATAGAGTGTGTAGAGAAATTGGTAGATAACAACATAGTGAAAACCCACCTAAAGACATCAACAAGCAGCTCTACATCTTCTAAACCATCACGCTTAGGTGAAAGGCATTTTCCAGAACAAATGAAATGCGATATAAGAAAAACTAAATCCAGGAAATGCCGAGTTTGCTACAAGAAAGGTGTTCGGAAAGAATCTACATACTGGTGTCCGGATTGTAAGGTAGCACTATGTATCAACAATTGTTTTAAAATATATCACACGGAAGTTGAGTTTTGAATTTTTACATCTATATTTCAATTTTTTAAACTCAATATTTCTATTTTATTTGTGTGCTTTTGTTTATTGTTCTATAATTGTTAACTTTTTTATATTTTTATTGTGTATAGAAATAAAAAATATATATTTTTTGTAATCTTTATAATTGTAAAATTTATAATTTTTTATTTCGATGTTTCCATTTTTTTGTTGGTATTCTTTTCTATTTGTTTGTAATTTTGTATTTTCCTTTGTGCTTTATATATAAACGAAAAAATATATATTTCATTTATTTTAATTAAGTATAAAAATAATAATAATAATATAAAATTACGTCCACTGGGCTTGACGTACTGACACGTCCTAGTGAAAGAGTATGCGCCCGTTGTACGTTGTGTAATTAAAAATGGAACTCCCCGGTTAACAGGTTAAGTTTTGGGGGTGTTAAAAGTTATATGTGATTTTCACCTGTGCAGGGGTTGGTGCCTCTAACACACCTTCTCCCACTTCATTGTTCAAAGGTCAACTGTACTTGAAAAACATGTTTGTAAAGTGATTGTATTATGAAATGTCTTTATTTGCATTTCTGCTTTTTTAGGACCCTTTGGCCATACTATTAAAAAATATAATTCCTTTGGTGATCTTGTTCAAGTCTTGGGTACCCCAGGCAAAAAAGGCACTGGTTTGAATCCCCTGCAGTTTGATAACCCTGCAGAATTATATGTAGAGGACACAGGAGATATATACATTGTGGATGGAGATGGAGGATTGAATAACAGATTGATCAAGTTGTCCCAAGGTACATGGCTTAATTTTAATGATATTTTATAAGAACATTATTTAACAAGTTGAATTTAATTTGTTTTATACTTGGTATAATGTTAACTACTGAATCTGAATTTGTAAAGGGTTCAAATGTATTACCAGGAAAAAATCAGAACATGTGTGGGATGGCCAATAATGAATGATTCTGATAATAGAATTGCTTATTCTTCACCAAAAGAATAAGCAAATGAACTGGAGATAGTATGAGAACTTAGAGTGGACTGAAGAAATAAATGGTTATTCTGTTCAGTTAAGGATTGATAGTTCAGAAACCTGGCATTCCAGGGGATATCATGCAACTAGATTGATCAGCAAGTGTTTTGTGTATGTTTGTTTTTAATCCTCACCTGAGGATATTTTTTCATTGCTTTTAGGTAGAGGGGAAGGGGTTGAGGGGAGATAGAGAGACCCAGAGAGAGAGAGAAATGTCGATGTGAGAAAGAGACAATGATTGTTTGCCTCCAGCATGCATCCTGACCAGGGCTGTGAATGAACCGGCCATCCAGGTATGTGCCTCTAACTGGGAATCCATCTGTGTCCCTTCATGAGCTACCTGACACTCTAACCATCAAGCCACACTGGCCCAGGCAATCAGCAAGTGTTTTATTGAATTTCCTGCTCTGCATCCTCAGTAGTATCGATATGTTAGGTGCAGGTTTATTACAAATAAAACAGTTCAATGTTACTCTGTGGTATTGATTGTTAATCATATTAATAAAATTATAAAAAAGAGAAATTACTATTGACTAGAGAATTAGGTTAAGAATTCAAGAAGGAAACAGTTCTTGCACTAAGCTGGTTTCAGTGGGAGAATAAGATCAGGATAGAAGGAGCATTCACAAGCCTTTATTACACAGTCTTCATGTGATGATAGATCTTCTTTAGGAAAGGATCTTAAGGTGCATTTTATAAAGAGTCGAAAATAAGATTTTGTATGTCTTTGAGAGCTTATGATGGGATAATTTAGGGCAAAAAACAACAAGTAGCTGACATCCTGGCATTATAGCTAGAGTTTACTGAGGGAACTTACATAGGAGGCACATCCCAAGGAGGCAGCAAGAAGATATGCATATCCACCAAGCTGCATAGTAGGTGCTAAAGAATTATATAGAAAAGGCCAGAATGAATAGGGTTACCAAGAGGAAAAGACCTTACAAGCTTGCCATGGTCAGGGCAACCGCCTGATCCATGAACCAGCATGCCTTTGAGCATAGGAAAAGGGTAGATCAGAGAGTTTCTCGGGGGGGGGGGATTTATGAAAGACAATCTGGGCCAGATCTAGCTCATGGTCTGGCAGTGTCATGGAACAGTCTCTCCTCTAATGATTTGAAGCTTTGAAGCTATAAAGAGTCTTTGTGGCCCTGGCTGGGTGGCTCGGTTGGTTACACCATTATCCTGATATCCCAAGGTTGAGGGTTTGATCTCCAGGCAGGGTACATATAAGAAGCAACCAATGAACACATAAATAAGTGGAACTACAAATTGATGTTTCTCTCTTCCTCTATTCCTCTCTCTTTCTCCATTTCTCTGTCTCTCTACTTCAATAAATAAAATTTTAAAAGAAAAAGAGTCATTGCTGTTTTTTAGTAGAAAAGTGATGCTATAGAAGCAAAGGTTTTACAAGATATTATTGAATATATCAGGATATATTTGAGGTAAGTTTTGTAATGTGGAAGCTATGGAGTTATTTATCATTTAGTAACTGAATTTGGTTGATGATAGTTAAAAGAAGGTGAGGTGGAGCTAAAGTAGGAATCTGAAAATTTCTATGAAAGAAACAAATTTAGGAGATGGATTGAATATGGCTGCATTAGCTTCTTGTGGATGCTGCAATAAATCACTAAAATTGGGTGGCTTAAACAATTTTATTTTTTAAATATATTTTATTGATTTTTTTTTTACAGAGAGGAAGGGATAGGAATAGAGAGCCAAAAACATTGATGACAGAGAAACATCGATCAGCTGCCTCCTGCACACTCCCAACTGGGGATGTTCCCGCAACCAAGGTACATGCCCTTGACTGGAATCGAACCTGGGAATCTTGAGTCCACAGGCCGACGCTCTATCCACTGAGCCAAACCAGTCAGGGCCAGAAATTTATTTGCTCATGGTTTGGAATCCAGAGTCTGAAATCTATAGGGCTGGTCATCCTCCCTTTAAAGGCACCAGAGGAGAATCCTTCCTTGCCTCTTCCAGCCTCTAGTGGTTCCAAACACTTTTTTGACTTGTGACAGCATTGCTCAGTCTCTGCATCTGTCTTTACATGACCTTCTTCACTGTGTGTCTCTATCTCAACTCTCCCTCTCCTCTCATGGCTTGAAGATGCAACCTAACTCCAGAATCATTATGTCTCATAATTCTTAACTATTTCTGCCAAGACCCTATTTCCAATAAGGTCACATTCATAAGTACTAGACATTTGGACTTGGTCATATGTTTTCAGGGGGCCACAATGTAACCAACTACAGGGTAGTAAATGAGATAGACTATAGAAACATAATGTGAATATTTGAGCTCAGAGAAATGGTAAAACCAAAGAACAGGTTAGTTGGCAAGCAGAACCAGTTTAAGGAAGAGATTGACATGAACCCTAAATGTTTGAGTGATGACCATTAAAAAACTAAATTAATTGCTTGAAACAGAAAAAATTTGTTTTTGTAAAGCATAAGAAATAGGCAAGTCCTACATAATAAAATCATAATATGCAAATCAACTGGACAGAGGAACGGCTAGTCGCTATGATACCCACTGACCACCAGGGGGCAGACACTCAATACAGGAGCTGCCCCTTGGTGGTCACTCCACTCCCACAGGGGAGTGTCACTGAGCCAGAAGCAGGGCTCACCGCTGGTGAAAGCAGGAGCCCGTGGCGTGAGCCTCTCCCACCTCCACTGCAAGCGGATGGTAAGGAGCGAGGGGTCCTGGACTGCAAGTGGGATATCTGACTCCCCCTTGGGGATGTTGGGCCTAAGCCAGTAGGCGGACATCCCCCAAGGGATCCCAGACTGGAGAAGATGTAGGACAGGCTGAGAGGTACCTTTCCTGACGCCCAGTGCACAAATCTTGTGCATTGACCTCTAGTGGGTATATAAACAGAAAGGAAGGAATCTATACTAATAAAAGGGTAATATGCTAATTAGACCAGACATCTTCTAGACAAAGCCATGACAGTGGGGGCCAAGGCAGAGGCAGTTAGGAGTGATCAAAATGGCAAGGGAGCAGTTAGCAGGCAACCAAGCTGACTGGGGGGCAGTTACGGGGCAATGAGGCAGGCAAGTAGTTCAGAGCCAGCAGTCCCAGATTGAGAAACGGCAGTCGGACATCCCCCAAGGGGTCCAGGATTAAAGAGGGTGCAGGCTGGGCTGAGGAATGACCCCTCCCCCCTATGAATGAATTTCATGCACCTGGCCTCTAGTGGGGTTATAATTGAAAAGTGTGTCTGCATCCTATGACATAAAATATAACATGCAAATGCATAAGGTATTTTCTATGTTACGTTGCCCTGACCATATATGTTTATCATTTATAGATTTCATGATGCTTTGGCTGCATGGAGAAAATGGGACAGGTCCTGCTAAGTTCAACATACCTCACAGTGTTACAGTTGATTCATCTGGTCGGGTAAAAATACAGTGTCATTGTATCTGGAAATGTGTCTTTGGATGTGTTTGTATGTTTGTGTGTGTCTAAGTGTACATAAGGATCTTAGTGCACCTGTTCATGTCTGGACATCTGGATATGTATGTATATTTTGGATGTGGATATGGATGTATGTAGTATACTATGTCTTGACAATATTTCTGAGACTGGGTATATCCAACGTATTGTCTTATAAATATTTGAGTCCTATAAAGAAAGTATTGTCCAAATATTAGAAATGAGCAAAATAAATCTTATATTCACTTAAAGGGTAGAGGAATACATAATGGAACAGAATATAAAGAATGTTACCTGATTTAAAAAAAAAAATGGAATTGCTCTCCTACTAGGAAAACTAGGAGTATTTAAATTTTAATTCTAGAATTAAACAAAGTTATTCCTAGAATGTATTGGTCAAAAGACAGATAGAACCAGCAACAGGCTGAAGCAGCGCAGGAGCCCGCGGAGAACAAAGGGGTGCCACAGGCCAACCTGCTGAGCTCCCAGGACAAGGAGGAAGAAACCAAAGAAGTTCTCAATGTGAAGAAATCAAGTGAGAGCAAAAGATAGTAAAATTACTTAAGAAAGAATACAAAGAAGATCTTGAAAAATCAAAAACTAAGTCAGAACTCAACTCACCAGCCAACATTGCAACATAAATGCGTTTAAAAAAAAAAAAAAAAAAAAAAAAAGACAGAATGTTGGAACAGTGGCGGCCAGGCCTAGAGTGGCCAGGCACAAGGCAGTGGCAGCCGGGCCCGGAGCAGCAATGGCTAGGCCCCAGAGCAGCAGCAACCAGAACCAGAGCATCAACAGCCAGCACTGGAGCAGCCAGACCTGGGGCAGTGGCAGCCAGGCCTGAGGTGGAGGCGGCCAAGCCCAGGGTGGCTAGTCCAGGAACACCCAGACCCGGAATGGCCAGGCCCGGAGAAGCCGGGTTGGGAGCAGCCAGGCCCAGAACAGCAGTAGCCAAGCCCGGAGCATCCAGGCCGGGAGCGGCCAGGCTCGGAGCGGCTGGGCCCAGGGCAGCAGGACCCAGAGCAGCAGGGTCGGGTGCGGCCAGGCCCGGAGCAGCAGCTGCCAGGCTGGGAGCGGCCAGGCCCGGAGCAGCTGGGTTGGGTGCGGCCAGGCCCGGAGTAGCGGCTGCCAGGCTGGGAGCGGCCAGGCCTGGAGCAGCAGCTGCCAGGCTGGGAGCGGCCGGGCCCGGAGCAGCCGGGTCCGGTGCGGCCAGGCCCAGAGCAGCTGGTTGTGGAACGAACCAGAGCAACAGAGGCCAGGCCTGGAGCAGCCAGGCCCGAAACAGCTCTCTCCTCGCCTGCCCCTGCCCCACGGCTGCCTCTCAGACATGGCTGGAAACTTTTGCGGGAACTTGAGGGTCTGCTGAATCAAGTGATGAAGGCTTAGATCTGGATGTGTTGAGTTAGTATAGCGCTGGGGTGTTCATCTGTGAGTGCCTTGGGTGGGGCCTGGATGAGGCTGGTTGACCTATTTGGAAATGTCTTTTGTGTGAAGTGTATCTTTGGGCATGTGGAGGTATTATTGATATGAGAAAATGCTAACTAAGTAACTGATTTACTATCAATATCTGAAAAGGGATTTACTATCGGGGAAAGGGAGGGAGGAAGAGACTGAACATAAACTGTGCACCTATGGATGAGGACAATGGGGGATGGGGAGGGGGCGGAGGGTGGGGTGGGAACCTGGTGGAGGGGGGAAGAAATGAGGAACCTTTGTAATAATATGAACAATAAAGATTGATTTAAAAAAAAAAGACAGATAGAAGAGGTTAATCTTGGAAGCCACCTAGCCAAATTTTTATTTTTACTAGCTGTACTCTGTCTAAGAAACAGAGAGCTTTAACCAGCAAATTGTAATTTATTTCCTTTTTTCACCCTTATCAACTATCACTCTTAAGCTTTTGCACACCTTTAAACATGTATATTCTTTGGAGTGAAAGAATATGCATGTTTAAATGCATATCCTTTCTATAATCAAACCCTAACCCAAAACGTTATCATTAGTTTCTTCTTCTGGTTTCCTGTAGTAGATGGTACTTCCCCAATATAGTAACTACTAGAGGCCCAGTGCATGAAATTCGTGCATGGGGATTGAGGGTGGTGTCCCTCAGCCCAGCCTACACCCTCTCCAATCTGGACCCCTCAAGGGATGTCCAACTGCCAATTTAGGAATTGGACCTAATCCAGCAGTTGGACATCCCTCTCACAATCTGGGACTGCTGCCAAAGTTGGTTGCCCCCAACTGCCCTCCCCTGCAGGTTTGGCCCCCCCCAACTGTCCTGCCCTGCAGGCCTGCTCACCCCCAACTGCCCTCCTCTGCTGGCCTGGTCATCCCTAACTGCCCTTCCCTGCAGGCCTTGTCACCCCTAACTGCCCTCCCCTACAGGCCTGGTCCCCCCCAACTGCCCTCTCTCCCCTGCTGTTCTGGTCCCTCCCACTTGCCCTCTTCTGCATTCCTGGTTGTCCCCAACTGCCCTCCCCTGCTGGCCTGGTTGCCCCGAATTGCCCTGCTGGCCTGGTTTTCCCTAATTGCCCTTCCCTGCTGGTCCATCTTCTCTAACTGCCCTCTCCTGCAGGCCTGGTTGCCCCTAACTGCCCTCCCTTGCTGTCCTAATCGCCCACGACTAGCCTCCCCTCCCGGCCATCTTGTGGCCATCTTTGACCACATCTAGTGTGAGGGCATGAGGGTCAATTTGCATATTATCTCTTTATTATATAGGATAGTAGAATGATTTAATTGTTTCCCCTAATAGAATGTAGGCTATATGAGGGTACATATGAATTTTTTTTGTTTTATATATTAGTGTCTAGTACATAGTAGTTATCTTACACCTATTTGTTAAATGACTAACTGTCTTGGTACACAATGGATGCATCAGACTATCTTTGCTTCGTGCCATTAGAAATTTAATCCATGTCCACTTATTTTTTACTCAGCAAGCAGCCTTCTGGATTATGATTTGGTTTCCTATTTGACAAAGTAATGTTTTGATCATAAAAATTTTCAAGTATTTTCTATCATAGATAGCAAGATAACTGAACTTGGTATGTTATTTGGGAACTAGAAAGTTAGAACTAACTTGTCCTCATGGAATAAGAACAACATCAAATTTCTGAGCATGCAAGACAAAAGCCCAGGTAAATTCACCATAGTGAGAAATGTTATTTTGAGAGGATTTGGAGAATAAAAGAGTTATTTTGCATATTTACTCCCAATGATAGGGACTAAACTGTATTTCTTCCTTGGTCATTAACCTAAGAATGTAATCCCAAAATCAATTACCTTATTTAGGGATCAACAACCTTCCTCAAGTGATGCAGTGATTCTTTTTTCTGATTAAAGATGAATTCAGTGACAACCAAAACTTAATACACCTTGATAAAGATATAATCAGGGTTATCGTGAAAAAATAGTCCCTGAATCCACAAAGCCTGGAAATCCGAAGATCCTGAAGTAGAGAGGTAGAGGTCAGTTGGGTTGGACCACCCTTCCAGTCCATTCTTTATAGCTCTACAACCCTAGCCAAGTGTTATTAAAAATGGTTTCACTGTACATATGCCATGGGTTGCATACATCACATAGAATACTTGAAATGTAATTTGAATGTACCTTCTTATAACAAGTTTCTTTAACAACAGGTTTACTTTAGGTTTGGAGTCTAGAGCAAACCTAAAATAAACCTGTTGTTGGTCTACTGTCATTCTTTGTAATTAAAATCTCACAAGCTTCTTCTTTAAATGATTCAGCATTTTGGACATAACTTGGTAAATAACAGGTAAAGTTTTAATGATAGTGCAGAATGACCGAATACCTGGCTTTCCTGTAGGCTGAGCTCCCGAAGAACAAAGATACTTTCTTTGTTTTATTGTCTGGCCCAGGAACCAACAAGTTGGCAGTACTTGGTGACAGTGAATGCTAGTAAGAAAAATGAATGAATGCTGTTTCTTCAGTATCTTCAAATCATCTGCATTATATTGGAGTACATTAATTTTTTAATTATTCAAATATTTAGTATAGCTCATATAGCATTATAGGGCTTTGGTTTAAGATATATGGCCATAAGTGGTTTTCTCACTTATATAAGATCACTTCAACATATTTAACCTTTCTGAACTTTAATTTCCTATCTGAAATTGGGGTTTTTGCTTGTTTTCTTCTTTTAATTTTTAAAAACTAACATCATTTTTTATTTTATTTTAATCCATGCTTAAGGATGTTTGTTTGTTTTTAATTGATTTTAGAGAGAGAGAAAGGGGGAAGGGAGGGAGGGAGGGGGAGAGAGAGAGAGAGAGAGAGAGAGAGAGAGAGAGAGAGAGAGAGACACATCATTCAGTTGCCTCCCGTACTCACCCACACTGGGGATTGAACCCACAACCTTTCTGTGTAGGGGATGGCACATCCACCACCTGGACCCCCTGGCCAGAGCATGTTTTACTACTATATATATATATATATATATATATATATATATATATATATATATATACTTTTTACAGAGGGGAAGAGAGAGGGATAGAGAGTTAGAAACATCGATGAGAGAGAAACATCCATAAGCTGCTTTTTGCACACTCCCTACTGGGGATGTGCCCACGACCAAGGTACATGCCCTTGATCGGAATCGAACCTGGGACCCTTCAGTCCGCAGGCAGATGCTCTATTCACTGAGCCAAACCAGTTTCGGCTGAAATTGGGTTTTAATAACCTTATTTGGAGATTTCTAAATACTGAATTAAATAATGTATGTGTGATTAATAAAAGTAAATATTTTCTCTCCATTCCTCTTTTTTCTTTCTTTTCATTATGATGTAGATATTTTCTAGCAAAAAAAATTTTTTTTTTTTTTTGGTTTCTCAGGTATGGGTTGCTGACCGAGGAAATAAAAGAATTCAAGTATTTGATAAAGACACTGGAGTGTGGTTAGGAGCATGGAATAATTGTTTTACAGAAGAGGGGCCTTCTTCAGTCAGGTAATTGTTCCCTTTTATTTTAAAACTCTGGCCTGGTGCACAAAATTTGTGCGCAGGGAAGTGGGGAGCCTGTTCCCCAGCCCGGCCTGCACCCTCTCGCAATCCGGGACTGCTGACTGCTGGCTCCTAACCGCTCACCTGCATACCTGCCTGATTGCCCCTAGCCACTCTGCCTCCTGGCCTACTTGCCCCAACTGCAAACCCCCACACCACCAGCCTGCTCACCCCCAACTGCCCCCCTACCAGCCTGCTCACCTCAACTGCCCCCCTACCTTCAGCCTGATCACCCCCAATCAACCCCCACTGATGGCCTGCTCTCCCCCAACTGCCCACCCCCCACAACTGTGATCACCCACAACTGCTGTCCCATCCTGGCCTGATCACCCACAACTGCCCTCCCCGCTTGGCCCCTAACCGCCTCTACATCAGCCCTGCCACCATGGCTTTGTCCAGAAGAATGCCCTGGAAGGTCTTCCAGTCTAATTAGCATATTACCCTTTCTTAGTATAGAGAGAGGGCTAGTGCACAGATGGGGGCTGGCTGGTTTGCCCTAAAGGGTGTCCCGGATCAGGGTAGGAGTTCCCTTGGGGGGTGGGGCAGACTGGGCAAGGGGCCTGTAGTGGTTTGCAGGCCGGCCACATCCCCATTGGTATGGGAATTCCCACTGGGGATGCCAGCTTGACCAAGGGGCTGGGGCAGTTTGCAGGCCAGCCACTCCCCCAGCGGTTAGGAGCCAGCTGGAGGGGTATGGCCAGCCTGGGTGAGGAGCTGAGGGCTGTTTGCAGGCTGGCTACACCCCCCAGCAGGGACCCTCAACCCAATCGTGGCATGGCCAGCCTGAGTGACTGGTTGAGGGTCTTTTGCAGATCCCTTCCTAGGCAGCCAGACTGGATGACCCAAGCCTCCAGTGCACTCAGGTCGGCTCTATGGCAACCACCCACAGGCCCCTCTTTTTGGCGGCCTGCCCAGGCAAGTGGGAAGTTTGGCTTCCTCCATTGCCGGGGTCAACCCAAGCTTCCCAACTGCCCTGGCTGCCTCCATGGCTGCCACCATCTTTGTCCTGCATATTCCTTCCTGATTGGCTTTGGATGTTGCAGAGTAATGGTTAATTACCATATTGCTCTTTTATTAGATAGGATGTTTGTTTATTTGCTTTATGTTAGGTTCTCTGAAAAACTACCGTGTTTCCCTGAACATAAGACATCCTCCAAAAATAAGACCTAGCACATGGAAAGATAAGACATCCCCTGAAAATAAGACCTAGCGCAACTTTGGGAGAAAAAATTAATATAAGACACTGTCTTATTTTCAGGGAAACAGATTAGCTGAACGTTTAAAATATTTATTGTTAGTTTTAAGCAGGGAAAAGGGGCAAAGGAATCTAGTACACGGAAAACATATAATCATATTTTAAATTCTAGGTAGTTCTATTCCCAGTGCACTGTGTGACCCAAATATATGCTTGACCTCTTCTAGAAATTTTCCTTAAAATGCATTTGGTCAATTTTTAAACAGAATGAAAGTGAAAACCTTGATTCTGTAGCCTAACATAGATTCTTTATTCCTTTCATTTTGTGTAGAACTATGATCATGTTATTTTTTTTTTTTAATTAAGTTTTGGCTATGTCTACCTTCACAAATCTCTTGTACCCACATTAATAGAATTAGGTCAATTTAAAATTATCTTTTAAAGAAACCATTTAACACTCAATCTGGTCTTCTCTGTAAGTCCTTCTGATTCTTGTTTTCAGTGACTTTCCCATGCCACGGGTCCCTGCTCTTAAATCCTTAAGAAAGTACAGGCCCTTCCCTAATCACTCTATCTCTTGACCCTTCTTAAAGTTTTATCATGGCCTCTATAATTACTTGTCATTCTATTTTTGCTCTATTTGTTTTATTTTTTATTCTCCCACTAGAATAAAAGGCAAGAGAGTAGAAATTTGGGTTTCTTGCTCACAGCTATATTCCTGGCACCTAAAATACTACAAGCATGCCAGGAATTCAATAATTATAAAATAAATGAATCAATCAATTTAGTAAGCAGTTTATTATATATATTTATATATGAAATATTGTGCTTTTTTGCTCTCTTTTTGTTGTGTATATGTTTGTGTGTGTGTGTTACATTTAAAAAATATATTGGGAGCAGGTAAAAACTAATCCAGCATATTATGAATTTACAAAATATGCTGCAAATAATTTATCAACCAGAGAGATAAAATAATTTGGGGAAAATAAAAGCCCTCAACAAGTAGGTACCTGCTGTTGTTTAGCTCTGATGGGGATAAAAATGTTGAGAAAATAAACATTTATGATAATTTTACATTAATTTATTATGTCAAATGTGTTCTCTTTAGATTTACGCCTGATGGGAAGTATTTGATTATAGCCCAGCTGAATCTTAGCAGGCTCTTATTTGTGGCAGCACCCCCAGTGGGAAGCATTGGCTACTGTTCTGTGATAAGCTCAATCCAACTAGCAGATCAAGTTTTACCTCATCTTTTAGACATCAGTGAAAAGACTGGAGCAATATATGTAGCAGAAATTGGAGCAAAACAAGTACAAAAATATGTCCCTTTGAAAAGCTAATTTCCCATCATTCCATTTATAATGCGTCTTTCCCTGGAGATCTTTCAAATGAAGTTTTAGATTCTCAATCTGACTGTCAAGTAATATTCAAGCACAATAATTCATGTTTTTATTTTTATCCAATCTAGTATCAGAAAATTTGTTTTTATAAAGTCATTAAGAATTTTATGTTGTGTTACCATTATTGTTACTTAATTTTATCTTATAAATGCATACAATATTTTAATGAAACAAAAGTAACTCTAAAAAACATGGGGTCAAAAGAGGGACTAAGGTGAAAACCTAGTTATTTGTCCTAATAAACTAATAATCCTTGGGAGATGGGGGAGAAACAAAAATAAAAAATGGGTTTTAGGATAAAAATTCATTTTACTGAATTTTACGTGAAGACTACAAACCTCCAGTTCACATTATATAAAATGAACTGCTTAAAAGATCAAGTCAAAGTGCTGTGGTTGGATCCAGGTTTCTTGTCTTGCAGAATCAAAAGAATGAGTTTGTGGATAAAGAAGGTAAATGGAAGCAAAGTTTATTGATAGACAGACTCCCTCCAGCAGGAGTGGCCCCAAGTGGATTGTTGCTGAAGTTCCTTTATTAAAAGGCAGATACATGCCTTGCTGGCTCTTTTTTTTTTTTTTTTGTCTTTATTGATTAAGGTATTACATATGTGTCCTTATCCCTCCATTGCGCACCCCCCCCTCCACACACACACCCCTACATATGGCCTCACCCCCTGCTATCTCTGTCCATTGCTTAGGCCACATGTGTCAAACACAAGGCCCGCGGGCCAAATCCATCCCGCCAGGCCTTGCAATGTGGCCCGCACCGCGCTGTCATCACTGCACTCCGCTGCGTTTCCATCACAATGACAGTTTATGACTGTTCAGTAAACCATTCGGCCCGTGATTTAGGCTGGATTTTAGGTTTTGGCCCCTTCTCTGATTGAGTTCGACACCCCTAGCTTAGGCTTACATGCATGTATACAAGTCCTTTGGTTGATCTCTCCCCCTTTTCCCCACCCTCCCCTACCTTTCTTCTGAGATTGGATGGTCTCATTGGTGCTTCTCTGTCTTTGGATCTGTTTTTGTTCATCAGTTTATGTTCATTAGATTCCATAAATGAGTGAGATCATGTGATATTTCTCTTTCTCTGACTGGCTTATTTCACTTAGCATAATGCACTCCAGGTCCATCCATGCTGTTGCAAATAGTAAAAGTTCCTTTTTTTTTATAGCAGCATAGTAGTCCATTGTATAGATGTACCACAGTTTTTTTAATCCACTCATCTGCTGTTGGGCACTTAGGCTGTTTCCAAATCTTAGCTATGGTGAATTGTGCTGCTATGTACATAGGGGTGCATATGTCCTTTCTGATTTCTTGGAATATATTCCAGGGTTTAATCTCCAAAATTTACAGGGAACTCATACAACTTAACAAAAGGAAGATAGACAATCCAATCAAAAAATGTACAAAGGATCTAAATAGACACTTTTTGAAAGAGGACATAAAGAAGGCCAAGAAATATATAAAAATATATCCCAAGTCACAAATCAAAATGACAATGAGGTACCACCTCACACATGTGAGAATGGCTATCATGGGCAAATCAACAAATGACAAGTGCTAGAGAGGATGTGGAGAAAAAGGAATCCTCATGCACTACTGGTGGGAATGCAGACTACGATAGCCACTGTGAACAGTATGGAGTTTCCCTTAAAAGTTAAAACCCAGTAATGCCAAACCATTACTCTTACAAAAGTTTGGGATTTTACTTGCATAGAAAAAAGAAATGTGGAACTCTCTAATATTTCACATTAAAATCATTTTTGTAGTGATATTTCCTTTTTATTTAGCTTTTTGTTTTCTTCATTTTTTAATTACAGATGATATTCAATATTATTTTTTATTAATTTCAGTTTTACAGAGCAGTGGATAGACATTTATATAATTTACAAAGTCATCCCCTTATAATTCTTGTACCCACCAGGTATCATATGTATCACAGTATTATTGGTTATATTTGCTATGCTGTACTTTATATCCCATGACTATTACTCTTTAATCCACTCATCTGATGACGGATATTTAAGCTGTTTGCAAATCTTAGCTATGGTAAATTGTGCTGCTATGAACATAGGGGTGCATATATTCTTTCTAGTTGGTGTTTCTACTTTCTTGGGATATATTCCTATAAGTGGGATTACTGGGTCAAATGGGAGTTCCATTTTTAGTTTTTTGAGGAAACTCCATACTGTTCTCCACAGTGGCTGCACCAGTGCATTCCCACCAGCAGTGCACAAGGGCTCCCTAATCTTCACATCCTCACCAGCACTTGTCCTTTGTTTATTTGTTGATGATAGCCATTCTGACAGGTGTAAGATGGTACCACATTGTCGTTTTGATTTACATCTCTCAGATAATTAGTGACCTTGAGCATGTTTTCATATGTCTCTTGGCCTTATGTTTTCTTTTGAAAGGTGTCTATGTAGGGCCATTGCCCATATTTTGATTGGATTGTTTATCTTCCTTTTGTTAAGTTGTATGAGTTCCCTGTAAATATTGGAAATTAAACCCTTATCAGAGATAATATTGGCAAATATGTTCTCCTTTGCATGGCTTTCTTGTTGTTTTATTGATGGTTTCTTTTTCTGTACAGAAGCTTTTTCTTCTGATGTAGTACCATTTGTTTATTTTCTCTTTAGTTTCTATTGCACTAAGAGCTGTATGGGTGAATATATTGCTTCAGCATATGTCTGAGATTTTGCTGCCTGTGGATTGCTCTAATATTTTATGGTTTCCTGTCTTGTGTTTTAAGTTCTTGATCCATTTTGAGTTTATTTTTGTGTATGGTGTAACTTAGTAGAATAGTTTCATATTTTTGGCATGTATCTGTCCAATTTTCCCAATACCATTTATTGAATAGACTATCTTGACTCCATTGTAGTTTATTGCCTCCTTTGTCAAATATTAATTGAGCATAGTGGTTTGGGTTGATTTCTGGGCTTTCTATTCTATTTCATTGGTCTATATGTCAGTACCAGGCAGTTTTGAGAACAGTGGCTTTGTAATACTGCTTAATGTCTAGTATTGAAATACCTCCTACTTTGTTCTTTCTCAGGATTGCTGCAGATAGTCAGGGTCTTTTTTATTCCAGATGAATTTTTGGAGAGTTTGTTCTAGATCTGTGAAATATGCTATTGGTATTTTAATGAGGAGTGCATTGAATCTATAGATTGCTTTGGGTAGTATGGACATTTTAATGATACTGATTTTACCAATCCATTAACATACTATAGTCTTCCACTTATTTATATCTTCCTCTGTCTCTTTTTTCAATATCTTATAGTTTTGGAGTACAGGTCTTTTACCTCCTTAGTTAAGTTTATTCCTAGGTATCTTAATTTCTTTGTTGTAATGGTAAAAGAAATTGTGTTTTTAGTTTCTCTTTCTATGAGTCCATTATTTGGTGTATAAACATGCCATCGATTTCTGGGTGTTAATGTATCCTGCTATGTTGCTAAATTCATTTATTAAATCTAGTAGTTTTTTTATGGAGTCTTTAGGGTTTTCTATGTATGATATCAGGTCATCTGCAAATAATGACAGTTTTACGTTTTCTTTTCCAATTTGGATGCCTTTTATTTCTTCTATTTGTCTGATCACTATTCTAGCAATTCCAGTACTATATCAAAGAAAATTGGTGAAAGTGGGCCTTCCTGTCTTGTTTCTGTTCTTAGATGAAATGTTTTTAGTTTTTGCCCATTGAGTATGATTTTGGCTATAGTTTGTTATTTAACGAAATATTTTTTGCTTTCATTATGTTGAGGTATGATCCCTCTATTCCCATTTTGCTGAGAGTTTTTATCAAGAGTGGGTGTTGGATTTTGTCAAATGGTTTTTCTGCATCAATTAATATTACTGTGTGATTTTTGTCTCTGAATTTGTCTATGTGATGTATCATGTTTATTGATTTGTGGATATTATACCATCCTTGCATCCCCGGGATAAATCCTACTTGGTCATGGTGTATGATCTTTCTGATATAATACTGGAGCCGATTTGCTAGAATTTTTTTGAGGATTTTAGCATCTATGTTCATCAAGGATATTGGCCTGTAGTTCCCTTTTTTTTTTTGGTGTCTTTATATGGTTTTTGGATTCACATAATGCTGGATTATAGAATGAGCTTGGAAGTGTTCCTTCCTCTTGAATTTTTTGGAATCATCTGAGGAGCATAGGTTTTACTTATTTGTTGAATGAATACTTCCCTGCCTTTCTATTTCTACATCTCTTTTGATTTTGGGTTTTTTTGTTTTGTTTTGTTTTTTGTTTTAACCACTGTGGTCTGAATATTCACTTTTTAATTAAGACCATTTTTTCAGTTTGTTATAATTTATTCTATATTATGATAAAACCTTGCCATGTAATGATCTTTTAGATCATTCTTCACTTACCCTTCTTTCATCCTTCCTCTTTATCAGTGTTTTACTGTCAATTGTATAGAATGTGGAAAATGTTGAGCCTCTGCTTTCCTCAACACTTAGAATTGGCATCTGCTTTCCAACCTCAAGAACTCGTTTTTTTGTTTTTTTGTTTTTTTTTAATGCTTGGATTATACCTCAATGCAGTTACGAAAGTAAATCTACCAACATGAAATCCTATTCTGTGTTTGAGCTCTTTGACCTAATGACCCCACTTCTGGGAATATATTCTAAGATTACCAAAGCACCATTCAGAAAGATACATCCCTATGTTCATAGCAGCATTATTTCCAATATCCAAGATCTGTCTGGAAACAGTGCAAGTGGATAATATAGCTATAGTGCATTCACACAATGGATAACTATGTGATTATGAAATAAAAGGAACTTTATCCTTTGCGACAGCATAAATGCAAAGTTTTCTAGTAATGTATACAAATTAATTGATTAAATGTGATGCTATAAACCAATACATGCATTAAATATTGGGAATGGTTTTACTCTTGAAGAAATACTCAAGTGAACATGTGTGGAATGCTGGTATTTTCAGTGAAATATTACGGTATAATGACATTCATTGGGAAAGTATGTTGGAATATCTATTACATACTATGCTGAAAACAGTTTGCCAACATCCTACATCATACAAATTAATTTTAAAAGTGTTCAAAAATTCACTCCATGCCAAAACCGGTTTGGCTCAGTAGGTAGAGCATCAGCCT